TTTGGTTATGTTATAACAGACTTTATCGTTACTCCTGGGCGGAGAATGTGCAGTAATTTTGCTGACTTTCACATTATTAAAGTATTAATTACTGAATTCATTCACAGCATCAGAGTGACACTGAATATTCAGCTGACAACTGAAGAAATCAAACATGGAGCCAAAGTCATAAGGGAAGCTTCAGAGAGTGTATTTGGCCAGTGATCAGACACATGCCAAAAAAGTGTTCCATCTGTAGCCAGGCTGTATGGCAAAGTGATATCTACTGCATCTGTAGATCAATGTGTATTTTTGTCATGATGTAGACTCATGGCAGTCATGAAAGCACGTTAAAGAATTATAGAATATTGCCAACCAGGAGAAGTCATAGTTGTTATGACTTTTTGAAGTAGAGAAAATGTTGGATCTAAAGGAGTGATGAAATATACGAAAAAGTTCAGACTGGTATTAGTTAATTGAATCAATGTAAATTAACCACTAAATAATGTTTATGTCACAGTTATAAATTGTCTTTATTTGGAATATACCTATATCACTGAATTTATAATAATTAGCTTACTTTTACAATTATGCACAAAGATGTGGGGGAATTTCCTTATATGGAAGGAGACTGCTGGAAATGTGGAGCAACTTTACTAAGATTGTTTGTCTGTCGGATTAATTGAATTGCAGTTTTGTACATTGTGTTTTTCTTTCCCTTTGTATTAAAACATAATTAGTGGTCAGTAGTTTTTGTTTTTGATAATTTTCAGTTTATACTTTGCTAAAATGTTTTGAATCTATTAAACCCTTTTTTTTCAATGATTTTAATTATTACTGTCATTAATTTCTTGAGACTTTTGTGTTAAATAGAATAACATTCTCCAACTGATATTGTCATCTTAGGCCTCATTCACACCCTAACATCAGTATGCATATTCTCCATACTGGTCTCTATACATTTCCTAAGGTGCTGGCAAGGAGAATCTGTTTAACAATCAAGAGCTCTTTAGTTGGTGATCGTTTCCTTTATTCTTGTGACCATTATGTTTAATTCAGGCGGTTATAATGTAAGAAAAAAATAAAGCTAATCATTGTTAGGTTAAAGGGTTAATTGCTCAAAATTATTAATTTTTCTGAATCTTGTTTGAAAACTGAGTTCTTTGATATTCTAGAAATGGTTGATAATAGCTATTAGGAACTGTAGATAGGCATGTTTGGTTTTTTTATTCAGCAGTAAGGTCTCTGCAGCAAGGAACTGCAGTAGTACCTTCTGTACAGAAGGGAGAATTTGAGAGAAATATTGCTGTTACAGAAACTACTTGTATTTCCTAAAGGGCTGTCATTTCCTTTTTTGAAGGCTTGTTCATCTGCAGTTCCACACATTTCCCATACTACTGTCAGGAGTTAAAAGCAGTAAGGGTATTTCATGGAGATGCATGGTGAATATGAGTTAATATATTTTTTAAATTGGTAATGGCAATATTTTTTTTACCTTATGTTGTATTATGAAATATCTTGGTGTACATGTAATGTGGTCAAGAAATAAATAGAAAAATGATACAAATAAAAAAATGACTATTTACTAGATTGTTTCTACTTTTTCACTTCACTTTGCTAAGCCAGGTCTCCTGGCTTGGGAACATCAGCAATTTTGTGGAAGTTTTGTAAAAAATAAAAAAAATAATAAAAAAACAACACCTATCCTTTAGGCTATGGATATCCTTTAAGTGGAGAGTTTTAAGAAACTGTGATAATTTGGTTTCTAGCGTTAGTCCTTAGAGGGAATGCCTATATGGATATCCTTGGTTGATATTGATTTAGGTGACGATTCTGGACTGAAAACAGGTATGTACTTCATGGCTGAATGCCATATAGACCACATATAGTGTTAATTCTACATAAATAGCCATCCTTTACCATCCCTATCAATCCTTTACAATCCCTGGCCATACCCAGCCGTCCTTTACCATCCCTATCCATACCTAGCCATCCTATACCATCCTTAGCTATCCCTAGCCATCCTTTACCATTCCTAGCCCTCCCCAGCCATCCATAACCATCTAAAGCCATCCTATACCATACCCAGCCATCCCCAGCCATCCTTTTCTATCCCTAGCCATACCCAGCCTTCCTTTACCATCCCTATCCACCCTTTACCATCCATAGCCATACCCAGCCATCATTTACCATCCCTAGCCATCCTTTACCATCCCTAGCCCTCCCCAGCCATCCTTTACCATCCATAGCCAAACCCAGCCATCATTTACCATCCCTAGCCATACCCAGCCGTCTTTTACCATCCCTATCCACCCTTTACCATCCATAGCCCTCCCCAACCGTCCTTTATTATCCCTATCCATCCTTTACCATCTCTAGCCCTCCCCAGCCTTCCTTTACCATCCCTATCCATCCTTGACCATGCATAGCCATACCCAGCCATCATTTACCATCCCTAGCTCTCCCCAACCATGCATAGCCATCCCTAGCTGTCCTTGACCATCCCCAGCCCTCCCCAGCCCTCCCCAGCCATCCTTTACCATGCATAGCCATACCCAGCCATCATTTACCATCCCTAGCCATCCTTTATCATCCCTAGCCCTCCCCAGCCATCCATAGCCATTCCTACCCGTTCTTTACCATCCCTAGCCCTCCCCAGCCACCCTTTACCATCCATAGCCATACCCAGCCATCATTTACCATCCCTAGCCCTCCCCAGCCATCCTTTACTATCCATAGCCCTCCCCAGCCGTCCTTTACTGTCCCTATCCATCCTTTACAATCTCTAGCCCTCCCCTGCCTTCCTTTACCATCCCTATCCATCCTTTACCATGCATAGCCATACCCAGCCATCATTTACCATCCCTAGCCATCCTTTACCACCCCTAGCCCTCCCCAGCCATCCATAACCATCCTTAGCCATCCCTAGCCGTCCTTTACCATCCCTAGCCCTCCCCAGCCCTCCTTTACCATCCATAGCCATACCCAGCCATCATTTACCATCCCTAGCCATCCTTTATCATCTCTAGCCATACCCAGCCGTCTTTTACCATCCCTCTTCATCCCTTACCATTCCTAGCCCTCCCCAGCCATCTATAGCCATCCATACCCATCCCTAGCCTTCCTTTACCATTCCTAGCCCTCCCGACCATCCATAGCCATCCATAGCCATCCCTAGCCTTCCTTTACCATCCCTAGCCCTCCCCAGCCATCCTTTACGATCCATAGCCATACCCAGCCATCATTTACCATCCCTAGCTATCCTTTACCATCTCTAGCCATACCCAGCCGTCCTTTACCATCCCTATGAATCCTTTACCATCCTTAACCCTTCCCAACCGTGCTTTACTATCCCTATCCATCCTTTACCATCTCTAGCCCTCCCCAGCCTTCCTTTACCATCCATCCCTATCCATCCTTTACCATGCATAGCCATACCCAGCCATCCTTTAACATCCCTAGCCATCCTTTACCATCCCTAGCCCTCCCCAGCCATCCATAGCCATCCCTAGCCGTCCTTTACTATCCCAAGCTTTCCCCAGCCATCCTTAACCATCCATAGCCATACCCAGCCATCATTTACCATCCCTAGCCGTCCTTTACCATCTCTAACCCTCGCCAGCCATCCATAGCCATCCTAACCCGTCCTTTACCAACCCCAGCCCTCCCCAAGCATCATTTAATGGTGCAGTGTATATTATTTGGAGAGGTAGATTGTGACCTATTTGATATGACTTGAGGAGTATAAAGGTTACCTAACCAAATTCAAAGGAAAAAAAACCGTAATGTATACATTGTTTTAAAATCAGCAACTGGGAACAAAATTGTACCTTAGACAACAGGAAATAGGATCTCAGAGGGTTTAAAAATCCACATTTTTCCTTTGGGGGTGGGGGCAGGCCCCCAGACCCCCCTAGAGGGAACAAGCGAAGCTTGTACCATGAAAGAGCTTTGTTCATTCAGACTGCCTCTCCTGCTACTTCTTCCCATTCTCCTGCTACTCTAATTCTTAAATGAAAAGCGTGGGTCTTTCTTTTGCTGTAGAATTACTAGTTCTGAGTTAGATCTCTATTCGAGAATTAATAACAGAATAGAAACTAATAAAAAAGTACGAGAAAATATTATTTTTGACATTCATGGAAAGAGGGTCCTGAAGGGGGGGATGGCTATGGATAGTTGCGGATCTATTCCCGAGGGCCCTTGGATCTAGTGAA